GCCATGGTCTCCTGGGACCATCGAATGGAAGTTGCAGCGGCGTCGGCTGCATGTGAGAACTTTTCACGCGAATCTGTCAAGACCACAAAAGCGCGCCAGATGAAGCAGTTTTTTGTTGTCTTGCAAGCGTTTAGGTAGTTTCCTCTTACTTTTCAATGAATGTGTGTAAACTGATTTGCAGTACAAACGGTAGTTACACTCACCAAGCGTTTCATGTGACAAAACATACTGCCTCCGTTGAGATTGACTGGAAAACCTCAAAGAGGCCTCTACCTCGGTTTCCTCCTCCCGCTTTCTCTTTGCCGCAGAGGCTCTTTTAGAAAGCCTGCTAAGGTTGCCTCGCCATGGCATTTTGGCACGCTTAGCAAATCTGCTGGGTCGGTCATCGCCATGGCACTCAGAAGAATGCAAAGCAGATGTTGAAGTAGACGCCAGCCGCTTCTCCCCCAAGGAGGTGCACTCAATGGAATCCTGCTCCCGTTTTACCCTTAGCCAGTGTTTTTGCAGCCTTTGCAGAGCTGCCGGGTTGGTCATCGCCACAGCATGCAGAAGAGTGCAAAGCAGAGGTTGAAGTAGACGCTATATGATCATCTGTAACCAAAGTTATTATGTGCTCCTCTGCAGTCGCCTGTTCTGCATGTGTAATGTTAATGGTATTAGGGGTCTTCAGTTGCTGACGTGCAGATGTTCATCATGTAGGAGCCATTTGAAGGGTTGTAGAAATGCTGTGTAAGAATGCGAATAGAAGTTAATGCCGAAGCTGAAGCAGTGCAACCTTGTATACAAAAACTAAAAATGCAGTGGAGCGGTATGGAAAATGCTTCTCCTAGCTATGGGCTGTGCTTTCTGGCAGCAAAAAACGCGGGCTGTAGGAAGAGGTTACACAACCAAAATGTTGAAGCGTTGAAGGTTAAAAAGTAGTGAAACATTGAGGTGTACTGGGCCGCGTACTTAAGGCAGAAGAGAAGTAACTTTCGACAGCAGTTAGCTGTCTAATAGCAAAACTGAACTACAGAAAAGTTAGAAATAGGTATGGAATGCTAAGATGAGGCAGCACGTGGAGATAAAATGGGTAATGCAAACGTTTAAGCAAATAGGCAGTGAATTACTGAGGTGTACTGGGCCGCGTAGTAAAGGCAGTACACCTCAACTTACAGTGAAAACTGTAATGTGGAGGTAAAATAGGTTGGGGAGATGATTGAATAAATAAGTAACTTGCGACAACAGTTAACTGTCTAATAGCAAAACTGAACTACAAAAAGGTAGAAACAGGTATGGAACGCCAAGATGGACTGGGCTGCACAGTAGAGGAAGCACGCGGAGATAAAATGGGTAATGCAAACGTTTAAGCAAATAGGTAACTTGTGGTAGCAGGAAGCTGTCAATTAATCCAAGGACAGATGTGTTAATGGCAATCAAATCAAGACGTGACTGTGGATGCAGCCGCGCTGAAGGTATTTAAAGGGAGCGTGACTTGTCATTGATTGGTGTAGCCTGGACAATGGCCATGACTTAGACCAATGAATAAGCTCCAGCAAAATAGAAGATGCTAGTGCTCATTCACACACGGGCGCATGATTTGGCAAGCGCAAAGCTTGGCCGTAAACGGGGTCAAGCTGCCTGCTGCATATGCAGTTTGGCTCTAACGCACGTGATGCCAGTGATGAGAATGCAAGGAGCTGCAATGAAGTGTTTACTCGTTTCGTTTGTGCGACAATGAAAAGCCACTAACCTTTTGCCGGCATTAGCCTTGAAATGGATTGGGAGGAAGCCCTGCTGTTTTAGTGCAAAAACTCCTCGTCAGGTCTGGGATGCAGTCTGGGCTAGGGGAAAAGGTTTAGAGAATTGGAAAATGGACTGCAGAGGGCAGAACCATTTTCACTCAGCATGTATGCAGGTTTTTTTCAGTAAAGACGTGAATAAAGGAAGTGCTTATTTTGGTAAGATAGGAACGATTAAAGCAAAAGTGTTGACAAAGTCGAATTTGTCATTTGTGGCTCAAAGTCAGACCTGGTAGCAGGGATAAAAAAGCTGAAATTCAATGGCCCTGCATCCATTTCAGAATTTGAGGTCAAATGTTTTCTTCCACTCCACTGCACACATTGACCTGTTTCTTCCAGCATGGCGTTTTAAATTAATCTGCATTTAGGAAATACCCAACGGAAAAACATTTTTAAGGGTTGACCGATTGTCGATTTGCACTCATTTTGGGGTACTCAGAGTTGAAACTTAAAATAGGTAACTCCCAATAGCCTCCTCATAATTCTGCTCGGTTTCGCTAAAACCGAAACGCAGTTCAGGTGCAATCTGGTCGTTTTTTGGGTTTTATCGATTTTTCCGCTGTTTAGGGGTCTGTGGTCATGAAACTTCTGGACAACACTTCTAATGGTAGACTCTAAAGGGTGTCAAATTTGGTTGAAATGCAATCATTCCTTCTGTAAGCAGATTTTTCGATTATCAATTTTTTCAAAACCTGTGTCGAACTCAAAAATTGGGCTAAAATCGTCATAGCAAAACAGCCATTTTACAAACTTGTGGTGAAAACCGCGAAATTTGGGTGAAACAAATGAGGCCTGGGCAGGTAACAATGCCCATGACAGACGAACAACATGAAAAATATAGATAGAATATTGATGAATATACATAATACCCCATGCTGACAGTATGACTTGAAAGTTTCATGTGCTATGCAATCATCAGGTACAAATTGCATAGTGTTGAAACTGAATCATACTTTCATCATATATAAAAATATATAAAAATATATATATATATATATATATATATATATATATATATATAGAGAGAGAGAGAGAGAGAGAGAGAGAGAAAGAGGTTGGTCAGGTCAGGAGAAGCAGTCAAGTCAGTTTCCTGGCAGTGTTTCAAAAAATACTGCCTCAGTTTTATGACCTTGACCCCTGACAAGGATCTATTAACAATAATTGAAATGTATCATAATTGTAGCTATCTAGCAGAAAAGCTCAGAGAAATAGTTGCCATCCTGGTAACATTGTTCGATGGCGGCCTATTTCTTCTCCCAATGACAGCTTAGTAACATATATTCCTTTTGGTAACAATTGTGGACTAGTCTGACGATGACCACATGCTGGTTTATCTAAGAACTCAAAAATTGAAAAGTTGAGGAGGGAAAGTGGACACTGAGATCAACACTGTTACATTCTTCCCAAATTTATATCTTCTGATCCACACTACAATAATTTCCACCACTAACTGGATGTGAATGCTCCAAGCACCCAAACCTCAGCTAAAAATCTGTCAGCTGCACAAAGCTCCACACATTCCTTTCTGTTTACTCAGACACTAAGAGGAAAAAAAAAAAAAAAAAAGCAATATAATCCAGAATTTACAGCCAATAGAACCCTCTCTCACCTGATGAAACAAAATGAAAACTGGAGATTTGAGCTGCAAAAAAGACATAAAAGCCCTCAAAGAGACAGACACCATCTCAACCTGAGTTTACAAGCTCATCAAAAAGTAACCTCCCATCTCCAAAGACATCAAACTCAACCAACTCGCCAATGTTGCCGGCTCAGTAAGTCACAAATGCATTTATAACATCACTTATCTCTTTTTTTCATACATCCACCCTGATTTTTCATTTATTGTATTTTATGTTAATGCAATTGTTTATTGCTCTAGATTTTCATTGTTTCTTCTTCGTTCTGCCACCATATGTTTAGTAACACAAAAACACACATTCCTATCTTAACAACACTGAGCAACAACAGTCTGTTCCAAGCTTGAATGTAATTCCAACATGAAAAACATCTGGCTAGGAACCAGTATTGCAGTGATAATGATGTCATATTCATTGTTCTTGACTTTTTTGACCAACAGGATGAAAGCTTCTTCATCAATGGGATCCAAATCAATGGGACTATGTTAAAAAATAAACATCATTTACTTGGTCACATTCAGCCTATGAACTTTTCCATCAACTCTCATATATGTGTGTGAGTGTGTGTATGTGTTTGTGTGTACATGTTTATATATATGAAAGAGAGAAAGTGAGTGACAGATACATGATGGCTGACTATTTTCACTAATGTCACTGCTTGATTTATACTGCAGTGTAGATGTAGCTTTTTAGTCCTGCTAGGGCCTTACATTCTCTTGTACAGATGTGGCAATGTTGGACACCTCTTGCACTATGTTACAATAATATTTTTATGAACTGTCATATGGCATCTTAGCCGACTAACTGAGGCACATTCTTCACCCCCACTTGCTGCAAGTAAAAATACCATATAACTTGTAGTGAACTACACTTTTGCATAGCTTCTTTGATGGTTTCCAAGGCTTCACCTACTTAGACAGACACAACCACATTTGTAATGAATGTGATTGTGTTTGTCTAAGTTAGATTGAAATCTACACCAACATTCTCAAGAAGATTAACATCAAACCCTTATGAAGATCTCTCTTGAGTTTTTCATGCTCAACACAGTTCTGGTTAAAGTCTCTTTTAAGACTGCACATTGCTTTTGCTGCCATTTTGCATGATGTTGGTTTTCTACAGTGTGTTTCTCATGCAATTTTTATGACTCAGTGTCAACTGGTGCACTCCCCCCCCTCACCAATGCACCACATTTTTTCATATTGCTGTAAACAAAATTCAAAACATCACAGAGAGAAGCAGTTTAGGTTGAATGCTCACACATAAAAAATAAAATATAATTAAATCCAACCATTTCTTTTATGCATAAATAAAAACATTAGAGATTACAGAATTAATTTTCACATTTTCCATTCAAATTGGTTTGTAGTTTTTAAACATACATATTTTATAGATGCTTTAAAAAAAATAACTAAAATGAATAAATAAATAATAAAAAATAAAATAAAAATCACAGGTAAAAAAAAAATGAAATATAATATATTGAAATATGGGACCAAGTAAAAAGAGTAACTGCTATCTCGTCAGAGAAAATGTTAAATCTGGGAATAAGACATAATTACAAAAACTTTTCTATACTTACAAATTGCAATAACTGCAAGAAGGCGCACAGCAAGACCTGGCTGATCACAATCTGGAAAAAGTGGCTCTATCACATAATAGGAGAAAGTCAGTGCAACAATGGCTTGGGAACATGGCCGTACGATCATGCATTCAACCCAGAGACGCAAAAAAGCAGGGAATTCCCCAAAGGCTTCAAATATGTATGCATAATCTGCACCTGAGCGTAGAATCATGGTTCCAAGTTCAGCATAACAATAAGCACCAATCATAGAGAAGATGCCACAAGCAACCCAGATGATGAGAGACAAACCTACACTGCCAGCTTCCATGAGGACACCTTTGGGGCTGACAAAGATACCAGAACCTATAATGCTGCCCACAATGACAGTAACACCATTAACAAGTCCCATTTTGGGTTTTAAATTGACTGATGTATCAACTGGGCTATCAACTGTAGTGATCGGTCCATTTCCAGGTTCAACAACTTTCAACTGAACTTTGTCAGTTTTCCCTTTTTTGAAATTCTTCATATTGCTGGGGAATATTTTAGCAGTTGTCTATGTCGTCAGAAATTTATAGAATGGGAACAGCAACTTTCAGTGATGTTTGGCAGAAAGATTTAAAATTCTGAAAAAGAAAAAAAAATACATTTAAACAATGAAAGAAAAAAATAGTTAACACTTTCATTTAAACAATAAATGCAAAAAATCTCTGTATGTCATAATTTTTTTTCTAACTTTTAAAAATCTCATCTTCTATATAAATAAATGTGAGTGTCAGTTTGTCACACTTTTTCAACATTTTACTCCTAGAAGCCATAGCCCAACATATAATACCATTTTGGAATCAGGCTGAGCAAATTAAAAACATTCCACACCGAAACCAGAAATTATGGATCCCCAAATTTTCATTACTGCGATTGTTTTTAACAATATTTTAAGTGATTTTTTGAGACACATTCTTTTGTATGGTAACCATTCTTATAACTTAGAAATAAATTTGGGAATAATCAAAATTAATTGTGAAATCCAGCAAAAGTCACCCATGAAAAAAAAGTAATTGTTTGTACAGAAAGTAACGACCTATGTACATCAAACTGTCTTTAAATTAAAAGAAGAATTATCGTTGACCTTTTAAAAGGTAAGCATATTAATGCAATACTTAAATGCAGCGATGATTAATTGTTGCCTATCGCATACGGCAGCAGTATGCTTCGCAAAACAAAATCTCTGCCAACAGAAGACCAGATTGCAATCAAAAGAGCTAAGGCTACAGCAAGGTAAAGAAAGTCCCATGCAAATGAAAACCCAGATAAAATGGCAGCTAGGAGAGCTTCAAATGCTGAGAATATGCAAAAACTAACAGACTCTCAAACTCCTGAACAAGCTGAAGGCCCCATCAAGAGCTCTCTGACCGATAAATGCGGCTTTTTAACCGATATATATATATATATATATATATATATATATATATATATATATATATATGGCAACCGCAAACCTGTTTCCTATAATGTTACAAACAGAAACACAGACACACACAAATATATATATATATATATTATATAACATATATATATATTCTAAAAAATTATGAATAATAGCATCATCAACATGCAAAAAGGCTACAAAAATATATATATATATATCTTATATATATATATATATTACGAACTTATTAGCATATAGATGAACCACGGGTTCTAAAAAAAAAAGGAAAACGTGGTTTTCTTTTTTCGGTCTTCACTCAGAAATGGGCGACACAAGGGAATCAACGAAGAACAGACCTACAATTTATGGATTTCAAAATTAAACATTTATTTATAAATATATATAATAATAAACAAAGAAAAAAAAAGAACATTCATTTAACAAAGGGGGGAGGACATCATTAAAGAATAGAAGGCGCGAGCGAATACATACATATATGAAAACAGATCAAGCCAAAAAAGAACCAACTTATCTTGCAGTCGGACTGATATCTTCACATAAAGTTTTGATTCACGAGGCAGAGTTCTGATGATAAAACAGTATCTTGGCCAGCCAACAATGTTCCTGGATTCTTCTTCTTTTCCGTGTGTTCGTGGGTCCCCAGCATTTTATACAGGCATTTGGTTGGGTTGATCAGTCCATAGCAGCCTTTCCATCACTAGTCGATAGACTTTTGGTCTTCCTCATCTCAGTGGGCGGTCTGAGATTTTTGCCCAGCGACGTTCAACTGCCGCTGGTTAGAGGGAAATCCGAAAAACCCTTTTTGGTTTCGCTGTCCCCTAACGACAGTCACGTGGGTTCCCTTCGTCCTTGACCGGGCACGCAGGAGAATAGGGCGCAAATCACGCAGTGCTTGTGTGATGGCCAAAAGTTCAACACATGCTCAGACGTCCTGATCCGTGAAACGCAGGAGACCCTGATGGTGTCTGGGAATTCACTCATGGTCAAACACGAAATCTTGGGAACCAGGTCATCCTCGCGTCGGGTCACTTCTAAGTTCACGGGCCCTTGGCTTGTGGGTGGAAGAGAGGATAAGAGAGAAAGAATTTGGGAAAAGAAAAGAAGTGTAAGGCTGATCATAGAATATATTCACCGCGGAGTCGGAAAACATTGATTAAATTTCTGTTTTTTTATTTATTTATTTATTTTTCTTTTTTATATCTAACTTTTTTCTCTTGATTTAAGATTTTACTTTAGCCTAACGCCTATATGGTTAATGAAATCGTTGCTACGTGACAATATATATATATATATATATATAGGAATACTTTGATGAGAAACACGGTATATGACTGATGCAGGTACCCCAATCTCTGACCTCAACCCCATAGAAAACTTATGGAGCATTATAAAGTACAGGCAGTTGAGCAACAAAGAGGATTTGATTGCACAATTTCATATCAAAATGGAATTCAAATGCTTGAATGATAAGAATGTTTTTGAAATCTAATCAAATCAATGCCATATAGGGTTGAAAACATTATTCAAAATAAAGAAGGACCCATAGATTATTAAAAATTTCAAACTATATTACCTATTATAAATAAATTATACCTCTATAATTCTTCATTTAATGCAGTTTAGTTATGTTTCTTTTGATTACTAGTTGCAGGATATAATGTCACTTTTTTGGCTGTTTTTCCCTAAAATCATTTATATCCCCAAATTATAATTATTATACATCGAATTCTGAAGATCTTTTAGCGTCAATCTCTGAATTAATCTATCCTAGTTTCGTTTGTTTCTTAACAATGGATACTGTGTTATTTTGTTTCAGTGTGCTTTTATTTTTTATCATTTGTTGTTCTCACAGGCTTGGTATTGCTAGGGTGGGTTTGGGCACGTTATCTCTCTCTCTCTCTTTGTGTCTTTCTCTGTCTCACCATATGTAAGTGGACACTGATGTCAACACAGAGATGCAACAGGCAATTGCTTGAACATAATCTTCAGGTCTGAAGATTGTGTTCAAGCATGAAAGACTGTCGCTGCTCAAAGTTGACATCAAAGTCCACTTTAATATTTGCATACACTATATCCCCGATATGAGCACTTTTACCCATAAAGAAAACCGATTATATATTCGGAATATCCAAGCTGTTCGAAGCTGTCATCCATTCGATGTTATCTCCATTATGGATTACCTCCCTTGATGTTCCTAATTTCTTAATTTTAGCCTTGTTGAATTCACTGACGTTGCCCTGTAGCAATTATCGTTCACGTTTGTATATTTCCTCTTCTTGACTACGTCCAAAACTATTAGTGTGCGAGAGTTCCTATCACGTTTTTTGAGCTGAAGAAATCTATTTACCCGCCAAAAAGGCTGAAAGCGTACACCTATTAATGCCACTGGCGCCATGCTTCAAATAATAAGCGGGGAAGACTCATTCCATCGTTTATGAAAGAAAACGTTTGATGGGATAGCCCGGATGTGCCAGCTGCGTGGTTGATAGAATAACCCGGATTCATAGTCATTGTCATAGAATAAGAAGGGTGGAAGTCGACGAGTGGATTCGAAATTCCAACGTATATCAACTGAAGAAGATCAGAGCGTACACCGACCGAAACGTCGTAAATATGGCAATAAAGTCCGAACAATGTAAATAGTGTAAAATGCAGGAAGTTATGGAGACCTATGATCTCTCACGTCCTTTAAGTACTTCGCACAGAATAAAAGAAAAACCTGCTCGAGAGATATAGTTTACAATGGTCTATATATTATCTTTTGGTTTGAATTAGTTGATGGTATTGAATTTCAACGCAAGTAATTTTACTTTTTCCGTTCATCTGTTTGCACATAATCTATATATCCACAGTATCTACTTCCTTCTTTCTTTCTATTTCTTCCTCCTCTTCCATTATTCGTATAAATATCCCATCCTCTAAAAAAAAAAAAAAAAAAATTTCATTTTATTCTGAACGTTCTTATTTTTTCATTTCTGTACTTTTGTTCTTGTTTCTTGCTTTCATTAAAATACAACATGTCAAAAACCTGACAAGCAGGCTTGGGGACTGACACGTATGTCCCTCTAATTACATATCTCGCCTTCGTTATGAAATGCAAGAAAAGAACATTAAATAAAATAGAATAATTCCTGTAAGCAGGGAAAAAAAAACTTATTTTATGGAATGAAATAGTTTGAAAACCATGAAAATGTATAAAAAAAATTATTAAAAATGACTTCCGTGCCAAGGAAAATATTCATCAAATACATTTATACAACGAATAAATTTTATACTTTAGTGTATATATATATATATATATATATATATATATATATATGTATGTGTGTGTGAGAAAAATATATCGGAAGACGTGTATAATCCGAAATATATCAAATAGATTTTATATATATATATATATATATATATATAGTAATCAATGGGTTATTTCGATGTTATTTTAGAGAAGCCATGACATTTTTTTTTTTTTTTTTAACAGTGTGAATTACGTTTAGCGTCTCCGTGGACAGGTGGTTAAAAGTAAAACGAATCAGACGCTGATACTAAAAAAAAAAAAAAAAAAAAAAAAGCGTGGGGGGTGCAGGTTCGAACTTTACCGGAGAGCTCATTTTTCTTAAGTCTCAAATACCCAATCCTGTAGACGTAATCCACACGGTTTTAAAAAAACTGCGCATCTACACAGAAGAGGAGTATCCCCAACACAATATTCCATCTAGTAAGAAATATATTCATTGTTTCGAATAAAATATAATGTATATATTCTATTTCACCAACTAAGGCGATAATTCCACGAGAACGCAGCGAAAGAGAATAAAAAATATTTTGCTGAGGAAAATGAAAATAAAGAACAAGATTCGGGAAGACAGAAGATGGCGATT